ATTTGTACCAAAGAATAAAGCGCTATGCCTTCCAAAACATTTTGGTGTCCCACAGCTTTAGGATTCCATAGCATCCCAATCACCTGAAACTGCCCCAGGCTTCATCAGCTTTTTGAAACAGCAAACCTCAATTTCCATGAACAGAGAGAACAAACTGCAACTCCTAATGTCTGGATCAGCAAACTGATGCAGCTGAGAATTACCCTGGGAAGCAAGAAGGTTAGTTTTCATTCGAGTCAGCTCCTGGTGTTGTTGCTGTGTGGATGCATGAACACTCTTGGCTGGCTCAAGGGAAGGGATAGCAGGAGTCTAGAGGAGGAGCAGCCGCTGCTCTTGGTGGCACTGCAGACTAATGCCATGAATGCCAGGTTAAGCTGACAGTGGCATTAATTAAAAGTATGTATTGTGCCTTAGTAATCTCTCAACTGAAAGGTTGGAGATGGTACCTAATAAAATGTCTGATATTGTTGGATATTAACATCCGGTTTTTGTCTTTTAAAGCAGATGGTAGAGAACGCACTGATTTACCATGTTCTCCTCCATTACTTTTCCCCCATACTTTCCCAGAAAATAGGCTTAAGACAGATAAAAGGAGACGCCACACAGGCAGTTCAACCAAGATGATGAAACTGTGGTTATTGAAGTGATATTGGTGAAGAGTTTTTATGAAACTAATAAAAAAATTCTTCAGTGTCCCCCACTATTTCATGTACCAGAGCAAATAACAAAATGGATGATTGATTTTTCTCTCATGAAAAAGTAAATATATAGGAAATGTGAATTGCTAGCTTCAAAAATCCACAGCATCATAAAACACATAATTAAACTTCAATACCTAAAAAATGCAATAGCTATCAAGTCTCATTTTTGTGAACAAGAATTTCAGGTTTGTTTGGCACATACTTTCTAGAAAATAATACAGAGGCAAATAATATCCATTTATCTGTATCAACACGAAAGGGCTAAACAATTTTAGTGCAAATCAAAACATAGCTCAAAGGAAAGACTCAATTCCTCCACTCATTTTTATAATGGAAAAACACATACAATGTTTAATTCATAGCAAAAAAAAAATAATAGGACATTCCCATTTAAAGCTTGAGAAAAAAATTTACAGGAAGCATAACAGTTATGACAAATTTTTGAGAAAGAAAGCAGAGAACACACAAGCCCTGCTTGGAAAGCTGGATACTCAGGGCAGACTCTGGCGTGTGTGGGGCATGTTGCTGTCACTGTTTGGGCTGCTGAAGGCACCAAACTGCAGGTGTAATCAATGTAATGTACTTTTCCTGGAAGAGGAGAGAGTACAAACAGCTGGTGGACTGGAATGGAGATGCTTTGCCTGGATCTTTTCTACAGACAAACATACACCCACTCTCTGAAAAACACTGTCAGCTCCTCAGCTCTTTGTTCTTTCATATTTCTGAATTTACTGACAAACAGATCATTTCATATGATCCTAAAAAATATGTGATATGCTTATTATTGTCTGCTAGAGAGACACAACTACAACAATGCTGAAATTATTAAAATTCAAAGAAAGGAAATCTGCAGGGCCTGGTTTCTTGCAAGGAGTCTGGGCAGTTTTTGCCATTCTCCACCCTGCAGGTACAGGTGTGTCAATAAACAGATCTGTAACACCAAAATACAGCAGTCAGTTCCAGACTGTCATGTTGGCACTGAAGAAACAGATGGATTATGCTGGACAAGCCAAATACAAAACGTTCAACACAGCTGTCAGATCAGTATTTCAATGGCCTAGAAATATGATATGTATAAATATATTCCTACTGATCAGCTCAGCATCTTGCTTATCCTAATACCTCTCTCAATGTTACCTGAAAAACCACACTGATTTATTTACAAACTCCCACAGCCAAAAAATCAGCTTCTATATTTAGAGGTTTATCACACAGCAAGCAGCATTAAAAATTACTAGCAGTATATTAAGTTCTAAGCAGCAAGGAAAGATGGCAATGAAAATTAGAGCTGTATCTTCCACAAATGTGCCAAGTGTTACGTGCTTTTCATTAGTTACATGATCCATAGAATTGCTTCTCACCTAATAACATTATAATCAGGTGATTTCCATCTCTCTTTTTTTAATACTTAAGAGAAAAACAGAACTCAGGTGAAAAGACTAATATCCAAGGTTCTGCTTATATCAGTCCATACCTCGTCTTTTTAAAATATCTGATAAAAATACTGCATGGGATTGAATGACTTCTAAACATTTGTTTATCATCATATAAAGGTTAAGCTAAGCCATGAACATTCATGTGCTTTTCCTGCATTTTCCATCCTTTTATGACACTCCAGAATTGACACTAATCACCCTGCACCACTTTGGTAACCATCAGCAAGCTCCAGCGAGATCCCACCTTCAAAGGAAGTGAGCCTAAAATTCACGTATCTAAGGCCTGATGTGCCAAGCATACATGTCGGACCATCTGGAAGCTGATCAGACTCAGACTATAAAAATGTAAAAAACCCTATAATTTAGATAGAGAAGCCAGATGCTTGACTGCTAATCCCTGGTTTCCCACATTTTGGATCATTTTCCATCTCTATATTTACCATCTATCAGGTATTCCAGAGGACTAACTGTTAGAGGAACCAGAGTCTTCTTCAAACATGCCACTGAACTGAAGCATAAATGGATATTAGCAAAACAGCTCTACAGATTAATATTCTTGCTGTTTGCTTTTGTGGGTTCTTTTTCTTCTCTTTCTTTCTCAAGCCAAGATGTTGTTTGCACACCAGGAAAGTAATATGGCTCCCAGCTACAAGTGACATCATAGATTTTACTTACCTGACAAAACTGAAGAAAATTCTCCCAGTCAAAAGTGAGTTAAACGGAGAGAAATAATTCTTCCTTCATCAAATCCTATGCTAGCAGCTCTTTATTTCTTTATTCTATGATTATTGATGTAAGATTAATATTAAACTCATTTCTCATGAAGCATTCATGAAATTCCAGGAACAGGCATTACGTGTTTTGCATTGGCTCTAACACATACACTAGCTTATTTCATTTATTGAACAGTCAAATATTCACTAATAATTTCACTTGAGAAAAAAAAATACAGAAAAGTACCAAATCAACTCTCTCCATTTTATCTACAGTAGAATCTGATTAGTGTAACAAAAGCAACAAGGCTTTCCTCCAAGGTTTGCCAGTTCTGCATCTGCCTTTCCCCCTGTGTTCCATGGGGACTTTTGCTGGTCAAATCTGCAGAACTCCCAAGACTCTCAGATGTTTTCTGTAGGTGTTGATTTTTTTTGGTTGGTATGTTTGGGGTGTTTGGGGTGGGGAGGTTCTGTTTTAATTCTACTATTTCAGATTTCAATCCCAACCACATGTTTCTCTTCAAGAAATATATCTTTCAGAGCACATAAAATACCAAGTTTTTGACTCTAAAGATTTAAGAACATTGGGGAGTTCTACACGTGAATTTCCCCATTCTGAACTCTGATTGATAAGCCTCACAGGCAACTTAAGAGATAATTATTTTCCCTATGGAAGGTTTTTAACTGATATGGCATAATCTGATTTATTGAAAAATGCTGGAGCCCGAATCAGTTATTTTTTACTTAGGTAAAATATGAATTGCTTTCACAGGGCATGGTCCTTATCTAAGACAGCAGCAAATCCTGCACAATGAACACACCATTAGTAGCTACTGAATCTTATCATGTGCATACCACATTCTCCATTTAGACAGATCTATAATCATCAATTAATTCATCCCTGGTTTACCTCTAGGTTAAACAAAAAAAAAAAAAAAAAAAAAAAAAAAAAAAAAAAAAAAAAAAAAAAAAAAAAAAAAAAAAAAAAAAAAAAAAAAAAAAGAAAAAAAAAGAAAGAAAACCAAGAAACTTCCATTTTACCACAGGAAATTAAAAGCCCAGAAACTTAAATGGCTGTGGAGAAAAATCAATATTTTAGTCAAAATTAGATTTTAGGAGTTTCTAGTACCAGATGTGATACCCTGAAAGTGTAGGTTTCAATTTCAATTAAAAAGCTGAATTGGATGCATAATAATCCATTGCAAAGGTGCACCTGAACCCCTGGAGAAACAAGAAGCTGGCATGTGAAACACAGAACGGTTCAAGTTTAAGAACAGGCACTGAACCTGAATGACTCAAGAGAAAACACCGGTCTGTGGTTTTTTCAGAACATCTCATTTCCTTGATAGAACCTCCTTCCTCCAAGACTTGCAGCTATTCAACAGGATAAAATGGACTTCTCAAGCTTGCTATTGAACATATTATTAATATTTACTCTTCATCTTTTATTTCCACCACATTTAGGACAAAAGGGTGAGAAGACTTAGGCCACCGTGTAAACCACAGTGTTCTCCAAAGAACTAAAACACACAGATCAGATCCACAGAAATCCCTAAAATCTTTGCTCTAAACAGATCTAACTGCAGAGGGTTTTATATCTCTGTAATACTGAACATGACAAACCAAGAGTGAATAAATTTTGTAGAATAAATCTGTAGCTGTGCCTTTTTTTCATTCATTTCCTTAAGACAAAGGTTTGATCTTTTAAATTGGTGATAATCAGAAGAATTCATCCTTTGCTGTTCACATACTATTACCACTTGATTGGGATTTCGTATATTTTAAGTTAAAGGTCAAAACAGGTATTGTTTTCTAAGTGTAAAAACATTCCAAATCTGCCTATCACATTACAATGTTCGTTCAAACAGGTTTGATTCAGAAAGAGAACAGCATATTTCTGCCATTGTAACTTTTACAGCTTTTTTGAACTCCCAATCAATACATACTATCGACCATTCCTATGTTAAGAAAAAAGAGAAAACAAATTGAGTATTTGCCCTGGATTTGCCATTTGGTCTCCATTTGCTACACTGAACTGTATAAATGGAATGTGAATTTAGACTAAAGGAGCACAGCTAAACATCTACGTTGTGTGACAATACACTGTATGATCAGTGAGCTGTAATGGGAATTAATTGAAAAAGTCCTACCTGTGGGCACAAGGTCTCTATGTGATTAGCTGCCATCTGGACAATTTTAGTTCCATCTTCATTTGTTGACAATGAACAAGCAAGATTAGCAACCTTAAACAAAAGAAACAAACTTCAATAAACAAGGAGCCTTTTAAGCAAGCACGCATCCCCAAACTCTCAAACTTGCCAAAAACTATCTCTACTAGAAAGCCTTTGTTTTTGGAAAATAATTTTTCAAAGGACATACTTGAACAAGGAAACACTGGGGTGAAAAAAGAGCAGTGGAAAGGGGTGACAATGACATGAAATGTCATGATCTCATCCCAGTTGAGGTTCACCAGGTAACAGCTGCAGGGTGTTGTTTAGATTACACGAGAAAATTTCAAAGTAAGAACCTAAAGCTTCAGCTAAGGTTGCTTGTGATCTCACTTGTTAAAATTTTTCAGAGCCCTTCAAATCAGGTCCAGCTTTTTAACTTTTTTTTTTTAAACTTATTTTTAAGACCCTAAAACTCAAACAACATTTATCTTTATTTGTTGTAACGAAACACAGAGTAATTTATGCCCTGAGCTATCCACAGATCATTCCTGTAATTAGAGGTATGGTTTTCTACTGAAATAGTCACATCAGTGCAGCTGACACTGTAAATGCAGATGGAAACTTGAAATCTGTGAAAGAACAAGTCTGTCTTCTGGTTTATTTTACTATACACCATGGAGATCCAGCTTCCTTTAGAGTAAAAACCTCTTCCATGATGCTCCACAGTTCCACAAGTTTAAACAGATTAAGGAAAAGCAGCACTTGCTTCACTCACTGCAACTGAACATCAACAGGCTTTAGGATACTACTACTAGTTCAACCATGACCTATTGCCAAAGGCTTTTATTATTCTTACTTAATTGATGTAAAGTAATTACAAGGCATTATTTAGCACACAGACAAATTAATTACTTGTCCTACTCCAAAGTCAGAAGAGACTGAGTAAGACCCTTTGTGAAGTGGATGAGGGCCAGAATGCAGGGCCTTCCATGGTCACCTCTGCCTACATATAAATACTCCATGCACCTATCCCTGGTATTCCAACAGAACTCACTGATTCCCTACATGTGGGATGCATTATCTTGACCACATACAAAAGAACGGTTAAGACTGAAGAAATCCAGTTTGCATAGATGCATTGACACTGGATTCCCTCTTTTTTGAAGCAAACCGCCATGGGTTGGTTTTTTAATGCAGTATCTGAAAAAAAGCGGGTTTGATTCTATGCTTCCCCTCCTGACTCTTCACCCTAAACTACCAATAGATGATTTGGTGTCATCACAATACAACTCTAAAAGATGCTATTCCCTCCCCTCCAAAAAAAAAAAAATCAGTTATTTTTCTTTGGATTGAAGGTCAGAGGTTTTCACTATTGGTCCCCAAAAACTAATTCATGTTGGTTTGAATATTTTCATTCCTTTGCCCTAGTCACTGAGCTGCTTCTGTATCCCTAATGTCACACTGCATTCATTCACACTTCATTAATACACTCCCCTAAACAAACAAAGAACAAGGCTCGGTGCAAATATTATTGATCTATTTCTGAAAGAGCTTCTCTATGCCTAAAGCAGTAACAATTCAACGGTTAAAAAAAACCCGGCAATAACAGCCATTCCACCAGGACAAAATAAACCCTCAGCAGTCTTTTTTCTCTTTAGCATAACGTTCCTCAGGTTTTTCAAATTTCATTTCACAGTTCCCAGACAAGCTACTTTTCATTCCTTAGGGTCCACTGCAAACATGCGGGATACACAGCTCCTGTTTATCAGTAAGAACAGTTTTAAGACTGAGTTCTCTGCTGTAAGCAATAACTGTTTTATCCCTGTCTTGATCAGCAAGGCAGATACAGAGACAGTTTAGAACAACTTTTATCCTGTTTCCCAGTTGCACTGGCTCCAACATTTCAGTACAAATGCAGCCCTTGATTTAAATTGTGTCACAGAGTCACAGAATAATAAATTAGGTTAAAAGAGGCTTGCAGAGATCATGCAGTTCTTCAAAATATGAGAATAAAATCTAAACCAATCCATGTTCAAAATACAAACCCCTGTTCAAAATATGAGAATGAACTCTAAACCAACCCATGTTCAAAATGCAAAGCCCTGTTCAAAATGAGAGAATGAACTCTAAACCAATCCATGCCAATGGCTCTATAGAGCCCATCAGCATCTGGGGACAAATTATTTGTATGTTACAAGATCATGTTGAAAATCAGAAGGGTAAAAAAGCATGGCTCTTTTCTGACAAAGCACGCTCAGGTTGGGATGGATCTCTTAGTCCACAAGTATTCCCTTTTATTTGAAGTCAACAGCCATGATGCTTTTTTATAGAGAGAGGAAAAACTCTTTCTGATCTTATGCTTCCCCTCCTGATTCTTCAGCTCAGCTGTAGGTATTCCTTGGTGATGACCCAATTCATAATACCATTCTCAAAGCACAAGCAGCCAACTAAGGATTATAAGCATGAGGAATTTATGCCAGGCAACTTTCCAACAGCAAACAGAGGTTCGTATTATTTACAACAAATGTCACAAATGAACGACAGTGGTTCAGAGTTAACTCCAAGGTGAGAACACAAATGCAAAGCCAAATGCAAAAGTGAGATTTTAAAGTAATAAAAGTGTAAATAATCACTGCATTGCCTCACCACCTGTTTCATTCTCAGCTGAGAACAGCTTTACTGTTCTATTGTTCACACTTCACAGTAAGAACTAAATGTACCCCCAAGGATTTTTTTCAGTCAAATTCACAGCATTAACTCCCAAAAATAAGTATTTGCTTGGGAACAGACTGTCTGCCAATGAACTAAATTCCTCTTCTATAAATTGTACTAAATGAAGCAACATGTTCTTTGGATGTGATCCCTCTTGCTCCACCCATAGGAGCTCAGTTTCTTTACATTATTTTATCCTAATTCACTTATACTGTAAATTGCTAAGGATAAGTAAGTTGTTAATTCCATGAACTTCCTCTTCTTCATAGTAAATCCTTCCTGTCAAGAAAATCTTTTGCTGAGGAGAGACCCTCCAAAGCTCTGTCTAACCTAAAGTTTACTGGGTCCTTCACCACTCTGCAGGGAAGCCCAAAGTCTGTTCTTTGTAATATTTTTAGCATACTTAAAGAACTCTCTGGCAACCCAATCCCTCCCATTGGTAATCCTATGGAAATTCTCAGTACCATACTGGGAGACTGTATAGCCTTGGATAACAAATGCTCTGTTGATATTTAAGTGGTTTTGTAATATACTCTAAATCAAAGCAAGGAAAACCAGTGATATGTCTAAAATAAAAACTGACATGCTTCAAATTTCAAGAAAATTTAAATTGTTTGTCACAAGATTTCAAATGTAGTCTTTACTAGAAGGTTTAAAATACTGATCTGATAATTTTTGCGGTTTTGTTTTTTGGTGGGTTTTTTTGTTTGTTTGTTTTGTTGTTGTTGTTAAGTTGCTGTTGTTTTGTTGTGGTTTGTTTTGTTTGGTTAATCCTGAATAATCACAATTCGGAAGGTATTTCATTTGTAGGAGAGCAAATGAACACTGAGCTGAGATATAACATTTAAATTTCAGCATTATAGCAGTCAACTTAGCTTTTTGATATAAATTATGTACTCCCTGCTCTCCTCAAATTGCAAGTGAAAAAGCTACTTCCATATTCTTTGCTTCCAGTTTTGTGGTATGCAGAAATACTTTCTGCAAGTTTATGATGCATTCAAAGTTTCTACCACTGGCTTTACTAATGAAGCCTTAAAAAGTCTTCTGAGGAAAATGACTGTTCATACAAGAAAAGAGCCATGAAAAAACTATAAAGGTCAACATTAAATATTGACTCTATACTTTTTCAAGGGAACAGCTATATTGATGTATGTATGTCTTCTAGTCATTGCTGCATTTTTATATGCATTTATGATTACTAAATGCATTTTTATGAGCTTGATAAGACCTACATTGACTAGAATATTTGTTTATAGTGAAAAAATACATTGCACTAGACTGAAAACTTACCTCCAGTGGGCAATAAAGTAATATCACAATGTTGCTTATTTTCCAGTCCATTTTCTACCATAAAACTTAATTTCTTTCCAGATCAACTCAAATAGTAATACTTTAGGTCAAAATTTACACTCTCAACTTTTATTAGTTTTTACTTTTGTGGAGATGAAGCTAAAAACTCTACTCAACAATCTATTTAACATATATTATGTTGCTTTCCCTGTCTCTCTTAGCTTTTCCCCTTGCACTTTTCCAGAAGGATTCTTGAGTCTGCTAAATTAACTACTCTGGGGCACCTGCAAGTCTCTTCACTCCTTTGTCTCCTTTTGTACTTCTCTTAATTGTGCACGTCTCTATCTCCTTCCATTTTCTGCAGAACTGAATCACCCAGTATTCCACTAATGCCATAATCACTCCTGATTTAACAAAATCAGCTCCACCTGGTACACCTGAGGCTTATCACTGCCCCCCTTGAGGAGTAACCAACCACCTGGTTAAGATGTTACTTCTCAGAGTATTACATAACTTAAAATATTTCCTGTTAAACGTGACAATGATTCTGCTTCTGCAATTAATCAATAAAAGGTTTTTGAATACCAGCAGACCAGATTGTTGGGTTTTGGGCTCGTTTTGTTTTTTAGCAACATAACTGTAACAGGTTTACTTCAAGTTCCACGTTCTCAGACAAGTCTTCTCTCACACAAGTTCATTTAGGAGATTTGATGAATTGGGCCTCAACCAAAATAAAAATGGGAAAAAACCACACACAATACTCTGCAGCAAATACCACACATTAGTAAGGAAGAATTCCACCCAGTAACATTTTAGAAATAATTTCCTTTTCAATAAAGATGTCAGGCTAGATGCCCCATTAAGCTCACTGCTTTGGGTCACAGTTTACAGCTGAAGAACTCAGTTAAGGATTCCCTCTCTAGACCTCAGTATGCAGAGCCCTTGTTACTACCAAGAACAGACACTCTATTTGGATTTTATCTGTGCCCTGGCAACCCAGGTTAGCTGAAGACTCCACTAAACAGAAACTGCCTGTAGTTGTGACCTGTGTCTCACTAATGGTCTCTCCA